AAAAAAAAAAAAAAATGAATGAAACAAAATAGAATACCTCAAAACATTGTGATTAAATTGAACATTAATATCCGTCTAAAAGGAAATTCATTACATTGAATAAAACACCAAGATATATATATATACATATATATATATATACATTAGGACCAACTGCATATGATATAATGTTCTTCACAATATAACAGAGAATATGATCGTAGACATCACGTAATATTTTTCTCAACTGTATTGTTATTGTAACTGTAAATCATGTAATACATTTTCCTGTTGGAATAGAATTTGGAGAATATTGTGCATTTTATAACACTATAAAATCATAAGTTGTCCAACTTCAAATGAATAATACAAACTGGAAACATCATAAAGCCCTTGATATACATCCAGCTAGCCTCCAATAACTCAACTAAATCCTAGTCCTCAAAACGAATTCAGAATATTGTTATGTCCCAAAGATTTCTACCAGTGGTAAATCTACAAATATGTAGCTTGTTTCTGTTTCGTGCATCCAAGAAAGGAAATTGAATAAAACACAAAGCAATTTCAAAAAATGAGCTTCTTAGAACCAGAGAAATATCGAATAATTAGCTTCATTTCTCGGGTCAATTAACGAGAAAATATCTGAATTTAACAATTAAGAGAACAAAAACGAAAGAGCAGAATGAACAAAGTAAACACAATACAAACACATACCGAGGACATAAGTGGGTCACTGGTGGTGGAGGGATAACAAAACGACAGAAATAGAGCATGGCGGTTATGTGGCGATGGTAGTCGAACATTGCCAGATCTCGATTGAAATCAACCAAGAGAGACCGAGAAACAAACAGGAATAGAGCATCGATGCGCCGCGCTATTGCAAATTTTGGATGAAATGAAAATTCAGCGGCTAATTTGAGTTTTCTCCCGCTTCAGCGAAATAAAAGACCGCCTTCTTCTATTATTTTATTATTATTATTATTATTATTATTATGATATGATTTAAGTTTTATTAAATATAATAGGATCTAATGTTTTAAAATTGTATATTATAATATATAAATTATATACATAAGAATGATTAATAAATTAACTTACCATTTCACCAAATTATACAAACAATGGAGAAATTCATCACATATTAAATGGTAAGAAAAAAATTTAGAGGTTCACGCACGATCGACATGGCTAGTCAGTAATTTTGACCCGATTACTTGCATAATAGAATAAACAAAAAATAATATTACAATTGTGATGACTTATATTACTCGAAAATTGACAAGATATCTTTGGTGATGAAATATAGTGACAATTAAAAAAATTTGTCCCTATATTTTGAACACATTCAGTTATAGTGACAAAAAATACATGTCGCATTATTTATTTGAAATTTAGTCATGATATAAGTTATTGTCACTATTTGAAGCAACAATTGTGACAATTTTTTTATTCCGCCAACACAAATAAAATGTGCCAAATTCTTAGTGACAATTTTTTCTGACAATAATCAAATTTGTCACTAATACTCATCACTCTCAAATCATTGTGACAACGGATAAAATTGTCACAATAGATATATTTTCAGTGACGATATTTGTACTATCACAATTTTTTTCATCACTACATATGTTATTTCTTGTAGTGATTAAAGGAGGATCTTCCTCTTTAATTGGAGAAAGTAGCTCCTTGAAATACCCCAGGTGGCTTCCAAAGTGTTTTCTTCTAGTTGTTGACTTGTCCAAGAGTTGGCTTCTTCTCCTAAAGATAGTATACCAATAATTACTGAAAAATAAATCCATGCAGGAATATTAAATAATGAAAATAGCATTGTATATTGATCATTATTTACCTGAAGTTTATTCTTGCTTAATCCAAGTGTTTTGTTGGTTTTTTGTGTCTCAACTGTCTTACTTCATGTCACAGTTACACTCGACTGCAAGACAATTACAAATATTAGTGAACATACAATTTGAAGGTATCATTGAACAAACATGAAATGAGAGAGTGTTACCTCTGTTATGCTTCTTGTCATAGGTACACTCAACTGCAAGGCAAATGCATAGATTATTAAACATACAATTTCGAGAAATCATTAAACAAACATGAAACTAGACAATGTTACATATGTCCTGCTTCTTGTCATAGGTACACTCAACTGCAAGGCAAATGCATAGATTATGAAACTTACAATTTCATGGTATCATTGAACAAACATGAAATGAGACAATGATACCTATAATGTCTGATGATTGTGAACTGTGTATGATAGACAACAGACTCTTGAGATTGTCCACAATTGCCATCACCTGTCTTCTAACTTGTCTTCATCTACTTTTCATACAATAAATATTGCATATAAGACATTCAACACATAAAGAGTAAGATAAATAAATCAATATACACAAAAATTATAAGTAAATTAACCTTATTGTTTGCCTCAACTGTATGTGGGTTGTCTTCCTTTTTGAATGGGCACCCCCTCATGTTATGGTTCTCCCTGTGACAAAGGGAACATTCCATAGTGGTACTTTTTTTTCTAAGCTTAACTTCAGCTTTCTTCTTTTGTTTTCCCTTCTCTTGAACCTCCTCTAAATCCCTTTTCATGTTGTGTTTTTTTGGTCTTCCAGGCATTTTAGAGTGCAATGGAGGCTGCAAGGGCTGCACATCAACCTTTGTCCACTCATTAGGTGGATTCGATGCGCCCATCATACTTGAGTAGGCCTTTAGAAATGTCTCTTTTTTATACCAATTGTCCACATAATCTTCTGGAACATGTCCCAAAAAGAATAAGCCACTAATTGCATGTTCACATGATATTCCTGTCAGCTCCCACTTTCTACATGAACATGTCCTTTCTTCCAAATGAACTCTAAACTTACTGCCAAAGGGCCCTTCCACCTCAAACTCATGCATCCCATTATAATTTGTTATGTACTCCATGAACCATTTTTTGAGTTCTTCAAGCAGCTTCATTATCTTTGGACATATCACTCCATCATACTTCATTATTTGATCCCTCCTCATGTAGGTTCTTTTCATAAGTATCATCTTTATAGTTTCAATCATATAAACTATAGGACTACTTCTAGCTCTGAAGATCAAAGAGTTGAAGCTCTCACTGAGATTGTTCAACAGAATATCACTTTTGGCATAAAAACTGAAATGTAACTTTGACCACTGGGCTGCAGGTCTTTTCACTAACCATTCAAAGGCTTCTTTCTCTCTATTTTGTAGTTCAGTCATGGTAGAATTGATGTAAGCAACTCTTGTAGACCTAGCAGCACTCCACAAGATATTTTTCAGAGCAAGACCGATAAAAGAAGCTTCGAAATTATTATACAGGTGTTGCACACAAAACCTATGCTTACAATCAGGCATGAGAGCTTCAATAGAATCAATCAAACCTTTCTGTTTATCAGACATTATAGTCCACTATGGTTGTTCTGAATACATAGGTATCTCTACTTATATATTAACGTATCCTATTTACTAAATTTAGTAGGTTGAAAAGTCAATGTAATTAATGCATTGCTATTTCTATAAAGAATTTTATTTAATTATTTTATTTATTTGTCTTATATCTCATAAAAGCAGTTTAAGAAAAAAATCCCATAACATCTGATAAGTAAAAAAAAAAAGACGTGAAATCTTTACTAAAATAAAAAAGGTTTTATTAATTTGTCTTATTCCATATTAACATCAATTTTGTCAAAACAAATCCCATAAAATCGATGAAGTAAATTTTTTTACGTAAAGTTTATCTATACTAAAAAAAGGCAGATTTGAAATTCCTTCTTTTCCTTATCTAATTCCTTCTTATTATCTAATTGGAGAAATGCTCCCCTACCCACGGTGGGCACATGTTAATATGCCCACCGTGTAGGTGGCATGCGCTAATTGGTGATGTACTTTTTTAAACATATTAACATCACCAATGAGTGCATGCCACATACGCGGTGGGCATATTAACATGTGCTCACCGTGGGTAGGTGAGCATTTCTCTATCTAATTGTATGGAAATTTGTTCTAATTTTGTTCAATCCTCTAATTGTATTTGTATTATATCCTATAAAATCAGTTTAACAAGAAAAACCTCATAACATCCGATAAGTAAAAAAAAATACGTAAAATTTTACTAAAATAAAAAAGGCTTTATTTATTATCTAATTGTATAGAAACTTGTTCTGATTTTGTTCAAATTGATTTATGTATATTCATATTCAGTTTTATAATAAAAATATTAACAACAATATATATCTACTCTATCCATTATGAATTACAAATCTCAAAATATCGAGTCATCATTTTCTCACTGTCAACCTCCTGCGAACAAAAAATATCCCCAATCAGTCTTTTATTCAAAACAATGAATCAAGGATTTGAGTTAATCAAACAAGTCAATAGGTCTAATAGACCTATGCTCAAAGTTCAAATTGTGAGAATGTTTTTTCAAGACTGGGGCAACACATACAAATCATATCTTGAGTTGGTTCTGCATGATAAAATTGTAAGCAAAATTATTTGAATTTTTGTTTAATTTCAAAATTTGAAACGTATATTTTAATTTATTTTTTAATTTTCGTGTATATATTTAGATATTTTTGTACATGTTTAGTGAAATATATTTTCGATTATTTTTTAAATTGCATTTTCAGATTTACAATTTGGCTTATTTATTCTACATATCAAGTATGTATTTAGATATTTACATTATTTATATTTATATTCGTGTATTGTAAAACTTTTATTGAATATTGCATCATATGGTATAATAATTCTCAAATAAATATATCTCGTGTCTCGCACAGGGCACGTACTATATATATCTCGTACATTTTTCTTTATTCATATATATAATCATAAGGTTGGATAAATGACCTTAAAATTGTGTACCCCGTGCATCGCACGGGCTCTGTACTAGTGTTTTCAACAATTCCACAAACCAATTCCATGAGTTCTTATTTTCTTGTTCCACCACTGCATATGCAAATGGGTATATGCAATTATTTCCATCTATGCCTACTGCTGTTAGCAAGATCCTACCACAAGATGTTTTTAGGTGACAACCATCTAAACAAATAACAGGTCTGCAGCCTTCCCTAAGACCGCTTTTCAAAGCCTCCCAGCAAATATACATTCTCTTGAAGAATGGCTTACCATCC